CACGCATACATACATAAACGCACACACGCATACAAACAAACATACAAGCAACACAGACACATACATACTAACACACATAAAAACACATACAAACACACACTCATACTAACATACACATACATAAACACACACACATGCACACATACATAAACACACACACATACATACACACAAACATACACATACATACATAATCACACACACACACACAAACAAACACATAAAAATGTTATCTGACCTTCCACATTACACAAGCAGTGCAATGATTTTCATTAAGATGATTCTTCTTATTTGGGTTTCCTCCAAGCTCAGCTAAAAAGATCCTAAAAATTAAAAAAAAATATATTATAATATTCAAATTCAAATTATATTATAACTATAATCATTATTTAAACAATGTTTAAAAGAGAACTATGGTATATAAAATACTAAAGCTTTGGCAGGCACACATTGCATTTACAGTACAACAATCAAACTAGGAAGAATCATAACACACGCAAACACACACAAAGTTATAAATTTATTATTATATTAATTATATTATGATTTATTATCATTTATCAATAGACCTGAGAAGTGATTTCATGGCATGTTTAGCAGCATAGTGTAGTGGTGTATTGTGCTGATAATTGTAGCCATATGACAAATTAGGATCGAGGTTTTTATGAAGGTCATTGCTTTGGGTATAGAGTTGAATGGCCGCATATTCGTCCCCACTGGTCAAATACTTTCTAAATTTAGTCATTCCATTACCCATGGTGGGGTGTGGTACTGTTCAATTTAACCTCTTCTATACTTATAACACAACTTTGAAATTCAGATGCCGTTCACTGTTTTTGGTTCTTTCTAATTCTTTTTTGTTTAAATTTTTATATGAAATGAATATAGAAATGTCAGAAAATTTTAGTTTTAACAAGTTTCACAAACATTATCTATTTGACCATATGAATGATAAGATGACTGAATGTCAAATCTCAACTGAACTGCGTTGTTGTGGTAATTTATTTGTAAGATAAGTGGCAATTGGGTAGGGCAATCAATTAATGAAATAAATAAATAAACAAATAAATGAACAAATAAATAGTTAACTTATCTAATTAATAAAACATTTTTAGAAGATAATTTGATTAATAAAAAAAAATAATATAGTGACAAAACAAATGAATGTGATGTTATTTGTGTTAGCTATTAGATGTTAAATTGTTGATGTGAGTATGGAAGATTTTTAATTGATGTTTCAATGTTTGGTCCAATTATCAAATAATTGTAATAATTAATTAATATTACTAATAGTTAATATTACTAATTAATAATAAAATGATTAAATCAAAATTAAATGTGAGAATTGTAATTGCCAACTGTGGTAATAATTTAAAAAAAATGACCAATACATTTCTATCTACATTTGCAATTAAATAATAATCCATTTATTTTATTCATAACACATTTAGAGTTTATCCTGATTTCACTAATTAGTCAGTCCCCACGTAAAAATGTCAAATAAGTGAGTAAGAACAACATTTTATTTACTAAAATAGGTTTTTAAATTGATTATTTTGAAGAACGTAATTTTTTGTTAAAATTAATAATTAGTAACCATTTTTAATCTATCGTAGCGCTTCATTTTTAAATGAGTAATTTATTATTGTGTCTTAGTGGTCTTCGTGTATTTGCCTGAAAAATCTACATTTAATGAGAACTAATGACTGAAATGGGTTTATTATCAGTTTGTTACTATTATTTTTAACTGGCTGATGTTAAGAAAATGACGTTTTGAAGTTTTAACAAAATATATAATTTATATAATTATATATTTTGCACAATAACCTATATAATTTATTTTTCAATAAATTATATAGGTGATTTATGAATTATACAGATTTAGTAATGAATAACATCATAAAACGTTAATGTAACGTCACACACACACATACAGAACACATACACAAAACACATGCATACAAACATACACACACACAATTATTCATGTGTCAATATTATGACATCAACGCTTTTTAGGTTCAATAAATAATTTTTTTCTCCATATTTAATTCATATCTCATATCAAGGTGTTAACAAGTATGTATGAAAGTGTTAGCAAACTACAAAACATATACATGGCAAGAGTTTCGGCCCTTTGTAGCAAAGGTGTCGACCCTATAGGGCGAAAGTGTAGGCCCTATAGGGCAAAAGTGTTGGGACGAAAATAGCCTGCATGTGTAAACCATCTGTAGCAAAACACAACTTATAAACTCTTTAACATGTAGCTGGTTTGCATGTCAATTTTACATTGCTTGGATCGTCTGCATTGAAGAAAAAAATTTGAGAAAAGTGGCCAAGCACAATAATTGATCCACCAACAAAAAATTTTATTGCAACATATGTGCACATACAACTTTATTCATTCAATTCTTCTATGATTCGGTTACACGTCTGCGTGTGTTAGTGTGATTAATTTTTGCCTGAAAAAATGTTGTTTTGTATTGAGGTGTCATATAGATTTCAGCACGAACATATTAATTCCACGGTACACATACTGGAAGCATTCGAGATGCATTGTTATAGAAAGTTGCTGGGAATCAGTTGGAGACAAAAGATAAGAAACGATACCATAAGAAAACAACTTGGAAGACAAAAAACTGTGTATGAAAGTGTCAAGGAAAGAAAGCTGGGTATCTTTGGGCACATCTGCAGAATGACAGACGACAAGACTGATCAAAAAAGTACTGATGAGAAAGAGGGACTGGAAGAAAAAAGTTGGAAGACCTGTGAGGAAGTGGATGGATGATATCACGGAATGGACGGGGGTTGGAACATTGGGCTCAATGAAGATGGCGAGGGAAAGAAAAGGATTTTGGAGAGATAGAAGAATACCATCGGCCTCAACGGTCCCTTAAGGGATTACAGAGGATCATTGAATGAATGAATGAACACATACATACAAACATGCATGCATGCATGCACACATACATACATACATACATACATACATACATACATACATACATACATACATACATACATACATACATACATACATACATACATACATACATACATACATACATACATACATACATACATACATACATACATACATACATACATACATACATTCATACATACATACACATGCATTCATACAAACTTAAATAGATACATAAATTCACTAGCATTCTTAACATTCATTCCATGCCATAAACGATAACTATTTAGTCGATTAAACCTGTCTTTTTAGAAATATTATCATCAATATTATCTGTTCATCATCTTTTATAAAAAACAATATCATCACTATTATCTCCATCTTCATGTACTCATTTTCTCATATCACTATCATCTGTTTATAGATATCATAGATATCATCATGAATATATATATATATATATATATATATATATATATATATATATACCCATGGATATCATCAAAAAGTATGTAACTGGCCGACGCGCAAACAAGATCGATCGGGCAGATTGCAACTTATCCAACGACACCTACCGTTGTAAATTAAGTGACTGCCTATGAATCAATGTTAAAAGTTTCGACATTTGTACGTGCAATAAAACCTGCTACGTGTGATGAAATAAAATATATTTTGTACTCTTCAGCGCTGTCGGCAGATATAAATTAATGCATTTGCCGTGTCCAAAAATTACTACGGAATTTTTTGTCTGAAAAGTCTAGCTTAATATATCAAAAACCTCAGCAAAATGTTGTAGTTTTGAGGTGTTAGTTGATTATTTTATGAAAATTTGGAAAATTCCTTTAACAAAAAATACTAATTTTATACTCTTAAATGGCGTCAGATGAGATAAAAATAGAGTTGGTAAAGTACGGGCGAACCACATCACTAAGAGGAGTGCCCAAGCTTTTGAGTTCGGATGACAAAGTTTTGAAGACATTATGGATGGCGTCGCTGATAACATGTTCCATGGTCTTGATATACCTTCTTATAACTTCGTTTTATAAATATTACACCTGGCCGATCATGACACAGTATGGAGAAATGGTTAGTTGAAATGTATATACTTTTTTTAAACTATTTATTTGCTTTAATTTTTGCTTTATTTTAATGAAATTCATCGCTAAAAATCGCCGAACAATGTTTGAATTAAGAAAAAGTTGAATGAGTCTTTATAAAATGTTCAACATCCTTGCACATCCTTGCAGATAGGTGATGGCATCTCATTCCCAGACGTCACCTTCTGCAACATTGACCCATTTTCGGCAGGCTACCCAAGCGGACTTACCATCGATAGCTACTTCGACTTTTTAAAATCCAACAAACAAATTATTAAAAACATTTCGGCAAATGATTTTAATTTGACTAAAAGCGAAGAAAGCTTTATGTATCGAGATTTGTTATCAATACCAGGCTACATATCAAATCTACCGAAGCATTATCAAATTGAAAAACTGGACTGCCCGAATTTCATTGTCGACTGCAACGTATTCGCGATGAACTGGCTCGGCACAAACATAGACTGCACAGAGAACATTACAAAATTCTGGGATAGAGATTACTACACGTGCTTCACACTGAGAACTAGTAAAATAAACATCGCCCATAATATAACAGTGAAAGGTTTGACATTCATATTGAATGTAGGCCCGCCAAACTATGATCAACTACCCATTAGATCGACAATCGTTGGCTCTCAGACGAGGGGGGTTCAGGTGAGTGTGCACAGTCCTGGCTCCTCCCCTGACCTCAAGCGAGGGTTCAGTGTGGCACCTGGCACTGAAGCTGTGGTTACCATTGTTCAGACTAAAAACAAACGCTTGAACCAACCGTACCACGTGTTCGTTTTCAATTCTTGTTGTATTCATTTTTAAATTTTTAATATAAAATAATTCAATGTTAGATTATTAACAACTGCAATCTAATACGTTGTAAATAAGACTTTTGTAACTAAAAGCGGCAATATATTCAATTAAAATTTAACAAAATTCTAACGAAACCTTTTTATTTCCATTCAGTGTCGACTGTACGAATGAACTGAAAATGCCATCGTACCCGAAAGAGAAGTATTCCCGCGACCTCTGCATTGAATACTGCAAGCAAAAACTAATTCACGAGACCTGCGGATGTATGTCCAACTACTTGAACGTGCCTCCGAGCGTTCTCGACAGTGTCGACCTCTGCGGCAACTTCACCATCAACAAAGCTAATCTTTCGGACGCTTCCTACAACCAATCAAACATTAGAAATGTCATCGAAGGCTACTTATGCTCTATGGACTTCCTCGATATTGATTCCTGCAGTCCAGGCTGTCTCATACGTTGCGAGAAGACGGTCTACAGTACCTACATCGCAATTTCGCCGTGGCCACAACCAGCGCTCCAGCTTAATCTATTCGGCAGCTACATCTACAACTGCACGAAAACAGATGAAGATGTCAAAACGAGATACTCAAAATACCTTCAACTGTATGACGACGATGACGATATCCAAATTGATTCAATCCAAAGCGTCAACTCCATTTCAGAACTAACGCAGATTCAAGAATCGTTATTAGTAGTTAAGCTGATCATGAAAGACACCTTTCCATTTTATCTGATAGACCAGCCAGCCATCACATGGGACTCTATGCTGGGCATTATAGGAGGAACACTGTCTCTATGGCTTGGAATCACTGTGTCCACAGGCGTTGAGTTGTTGGAGCTGGTCTACTTGATCATCAGCAGTTACTTCAAGAATAAGAATAAAAATAGCTCTGCCAATGAAAGCGCGCCGTCTAATTCGAGAGTTTTTGCAAAAGTTCTATCTAACTGACTAGGCATGTGAATATTTTATTGAAACTAATGCTTTTTCGACATTAAATTCATATTACTTCATTCCTAAAAACAAAACTCTCATTAATTCTATAAACGATTGATTTTTTGAGCATTAAAATGCAACATTTTTTTACGGAGCTCAAGAAATTTTCCAAGAATTTTTAAGAATTTCCTTGAAATTTAGAAAACTTTTCTTAAAATTCAACGTAAAATAAATTTATTTTTTTGTTGATTTGTATTTATTTCCATATTTTCTTATAATTTCCACGTAAAAACAGCAATAAAAATGCACTTGGGAGAATTTTTACATTTTACATTCAGATACATCGATAAAAGAACTGAACAAACACGGATGCAGAATGAAGAATTGATCGGAAACGTCTTATATTTACACACAAAACCAACAGTACTGTAAGATGGTATGAAAAGTGTGCAAACTGGAATGAAATTATCGACATTTCGTCATCGTCCGTCACAATGGGCCTTCCAGTACGTCTCTGTAAGACAATCACGCACTGAACGCAAAAGTTTATAAATGAAATGCAGTTTGCACTTTTTTTGAATGTTTTTAGACTGAACAAGCAAGCTTGAAATAAATTATTTTACGAATAATTGTGACTAAATATGTGACAATAAATTTGTTTTGTATGAATTTTACTTTTAATAAGCCAAAAGTAAATAACTTTTAATTTAATTTGGTTGACTTAAATACTATGAAACTGGCTACCGACATAGTAAAGAAGGAATTAGCCAAATACGGCAAATCGACATCTATAAGAGGCGTTCCGAAATGTTTCACATCCAGCGACAGAGTTCTGATCAGTCTGTGGATCATCTCCCTAACAATTTGTACCATAGTCTTAATTTTTCTATTGTCGACTTCCTTCGAAAAATATTTTTCTTGGCCAACAATGACTCAATTCGGCGAAACAGTTCGTTCATTTTGACTTTCTGGACAAGCTAATTTTACAAGTTTTTGCAAATTTCGGTTCTTTTTTCTAGCTATTTCAGATTAATCAAATTTTATTTTTTCATTCAGATTGGTGAAGACCTAGCGTTCCCCGACGTAACGTTCTGCAATATTGATGTATTTGCAGATGAAAACGCCAAAAAATACTCGATAGAGAAATATTTCGAATTCGTAAGGTCAAACAAAGGCCAAATCAAAAAATTGGTTAATCATAAAGAAAACTCCTCCATAAAGGTAAAGCGAGACGTTTATGAAAAATTTTATTCCATACCTGGCTACATCTCAAATCTGCCGAAACATGACGGAAAGGGAAATAAAAGCTGTCCAGAATTCATAGTCAGTTGCAGCGTGTTCACTCTAAACTGGCTCAGCAGTGACTTAGATTGTGCCAATAATTTTTTAACCATCTGGGAGCAAAACTACTATACCTGCTACACCCTGAGAACCAGTAAACTAAACAAAGAAAATAACATAACAATACGAGGCTTGTCGCTTGTGTTGAACGTAGGACCTCCAAACTTCTATCAACTACCATTGAGATCGACAATTGTTGGCTCGCAGACGCGAGGAGTTCAGGTGAGCGTGCACAGTCCTGGCTCCTCCCCTGACCTAAAACGGGGCTTCAGCGTGGCACCTGGCACTGAGAATGTCGTCACCATCGTTCAGACAAGTAGAACGAGACAGAACAAACCATATAATACGTTGGTGTTATGAATTCTTTCTTATTTTTATTTTTTTTTGTTTTACCCTTCAAGTTTTGTTTGTTTTATATTTAGTTCTGTTTGCTCTGTGCACTTGTAAAAAACTTGTAATGCATCACAGTTATTATTTTAAAATTTTTGTCCGAAAAGCAGTTATTTGAAATTGATTTTATTCAAAAAAGGCAAAAGCTTTTAGTATTGTCTGTATTAATAAATTATGTAATTGAAAATACTGCTAACAAAAAATGTGATGTATCATTTTATACATGAATGACAGGCTAGGTTGCACGAGTTACAAAACTGTTCCCTTACTGCCGACAGAGAAGTATCATCGAGACTTGTGTATCGAGACTTGTAAACAAAAACTCATTGAAAAGAACTGCGGATGTTTGTCCCACTACCTCTACATACCTTCATCTTTTCTCGATCCAGTCAAAATTTGCCGCAACTTCAGTTTCGACGAAAATAACTTCTCCTCTAAAAGTTCCTTCAACAAGTCGAAAATGGAAGACGTGATAGACAGTTACCTGTGCTCTATGAAGTATGTCGACACGAGCACATGCGACGGAGACTGTCTCATACGTTGCGAGAAGACGGTCTACGACACATATATCGCAACGTCCCCGTGGCCGCAACCGGCGCTGCAGCTCAGCATATTCGGCAGGTACATCTTCAACTGCACTCGAACAGACGAACGAGTTAGGCAGAGATACTCAAAATACCTGCAACTCTACTACGATTTTTTAAGTAATTCAGGTCAAAATTTCACTGAACATTCAGAACTGAAGCAAATTCAAGAGTCATTGCTGGTTGTCAAGTTGGTAATGAAGGATACGTTCCCATTATTTTTAAGAGACCAGCCGGCTATAACATGGGACGCCATGTTTGGAATCATAGGGGGAACTCTTTCTCTCTGGCTTGGCATCACAGTTAGCACTGGTGTTGAGCTGATCGAGTTGATTTATTTGATCGTTAAAAACTATTTGACAAGTAAGAAGGAAGGTGTTGGACAAAATGATGGCAAAATGTGAATTTCATGAAACTTAAACTTCTCAATCTCTATTTTTCTGTTTCAATTTTATGGTTAACATCTATTTTAAACTTAGATATTACACTAAATTTTTTTTTAATGTTCTTACTACATTTTCTATCTTTAGTTTCAGCACGTACACAATTATTTGAATCCTTTTACACAATGTTATAGCCAAAATCATTCTTCTAAACTTGACAATCAAAGTCTACTTGACATACATCAGAATTTAAATATATACATTTGTTTCGGATTTTTTATTTAAAATATCTATTCCATTCAACATTTAATTTTTACTCGTGAAAACCTTAAAAAATATAAAAAAAAGTCCAATTCTGTAATTTTAAACTTCATTAACCTAGTTCACTCAACTTACAATAGCCAAATTATCTAGTTATTGAACGTAAAATCCTAATTAATTAGCCAACAACAGCAAAAACACTGTAGTTATTAGTACGCCTCACATATTTGCATGCAAATATTTGCGCGTCCGATCTGATATCATGCAGTCATTTTAATCGACATTCTTGATGGATGTTCAACAGAGATTTCAGTCCAAATGTAGTAGGAGGTGGTGTTACTGGCTGGCTGGAAATGTATTTGGGAAAAATTTTGGTTGAATGTAGTTGTTGTAACGTGTTAATTATGACGCTGTGTGTTTAAGAGTTAACTGTCAAATCTTCAGTAGGTCTATCTTATTTTGAAATGATGTAATTTGGTAAGAAGAGCTGATGAAGATGAAATCGATAAATGTGTCTGTACATATTTTCTTCAGTTAAACATGTCAAAGTAAAATGCAAATATCTATTCGAAATAATATTTTTTGAAAAAAAAATAAAATTAGAGGAATTATTTTTAGCTGTGTTGTTAGCATGCTGCTGTTGGTGCGTGGCAGGTAGGTAGGCAGGTAAACAAGAGCCATAACAACAATGAATGAATGGACGGAAATTGATTAGAAATGGTCTCAAATGCTCGATAAATTTAATATTACATAGCATAAAAGCTGAACGGAGCGATGATGTTGGTGTTAAAATCATTTGCGAAGCTTCCATGCTGGTTCAATAAGCACTATGCATTCGTAATTCCATTAATCTGAGCTAATGTTTGTTATAAAAGTCAGGGGTGAAAATATATGTGAGTGTGAATGAAAAACTTGTGAGCAAATTATTTCCTGCAAATTTTTGTCATTTTTTGATTAAAAAATTTGAAAATGGCTTCTGATGAAATAAAACTTAAATTGGTGAACTACGGGAAGTCAACATCGATACGGGGAGTGCCGAAGTGTTTCAACTCGGACGATAGGGTTTTGAGGGGGCTGTGGATTGGCTCCGTGGTCATCTGCACTCTAGTTCTCATTGGCCAGCTCGTTGTGTCCATTCAGAAGTTCTACGCAAGGCCTATCATGACTCAGTTCGGTGAAATGGTTCGTTCGGTTGAATTTTTTGAAATGTAATTTAAAGTTTTAGCGAATAAATTTTAAATTATCTTGGATTAAAACGCTGAAATAAGTTTCGCCCAATTTGATAAGTACATTCATTTATTTTGTTTTCCTGAAGATTGGAGAGAAGGTTGTGTTCCCTGACATCACGTTTTGCAACATAGACCCGTTCGCTACTGGCCACTCGAAAGATCTGCCGATAGATCAATATTTCTACTTTCTGAAAGTTAACAAAAATTTATTTAGAAACCTCTCAATGAATGAGTTTAATTTGTCGGAAAACATGGAAGAAACGATCTACAACGAGCTGTTCTCGGTTCCAAACTACATAATAAATTTGAAGAAACGCGGCCAGATTAAGAGCACGGATTGCCCCAACTTCATCGTCGACAGCAGCATCGTCAGCTCCAACTGGTTCACCACCAACCTCAGTTGCCATGAGAATTTTACAAGAATCTGGAACCCAAATTACTACACGTGCTACACGTTGAGAACAAGCAAGATCAACTCCGAGAAGAACCTCACGATTCGAGGACTGTCCTTCGTATTGAACGTTGGGCCTCCCAATTATTTCCAGCTACCTTTCAGATCGACAATTGTTGGTTCGCAGACGAGGGGGGTCCAGGTGAGTGTGCATAGTCCTGGCTCCTCCCCTGACCTCAAGCGAGGGTTCAGTGTGGCACCTGGCACTGAAACTGTGGTTTCCATCGTTCAGTCGAAGAGAACCAGGCAGGACAAACCTTACAGCGCGTATGTACATTTTCAGAAACTTTTAATTTCATATAAATGTGTTTCAATATCTCCGACCTTTTAAATTCAAAATCTTTGATTTAATTTTAATGTGTACTACTTGAAAGTTTCTAAAAACTTTTTCACGCATGTAGGGTTGGCTGTACAGACGAAAACAACATGCCAACCTACCCGAAAGAGAAGTACACACAGGATCTGTGCATCGAATTTTGCAAGCAGAAACTGATTGAGGAGTCGTGCGGTTGTATGTCCCATCAGTTCAACGTGCCACTCAGTGTTCTCGACGACATCAACCTCTGCGGAAACTTCAGTCTCAGCAAAAATAATTTTTCTAAAAATGATTACAACGACTCTAGTTTTAGAGACGTTATTGCCAATTATTTATGCTCGCTGAAATACCTGGATGTCGAGTCGTGTGACCAGAGCTGTCTCATACGCTGCGCGAAAAATGCCTACGAGACATTCGTTTTAAGTTCCGCTTGGCCAAAACCCGCAATGCAATTAAATCTTTTCGGCGGCTACATCTACAACTGCACTCTAACAAATAAAGACGTAAAGAATCGCTACAGAAGCTACCTGCAGTACTACGATGTCGGCAGCGACATTCAGATCAATCTTGAGCACAACTTTTCAACAATTTCGAAACTTAATGAAATACAAGACTCGTTGTTATCCATAAAGTTCATAATTAAAGACGCCTACCCATTTTATTTAGCTGACCAGCCCGCATACACCTGGGACTCCATGTTTGGCGTTGTGGGGGGTACTATGTCTCTATGGCTGGGCATCACAATAAGTACAGGCGTGGAGCTCATTGAGCTGCTGTACTTAGTGCTGAAGGGTGCTCTTAAAAATAAAACTAGGATTGATTCGCTTAAAAAGGGAAACAAACTTAACGGGAGGACTGTGTTTGTGGCTGTAGTTGGAAATTAGATCGGAGTTGAATGTGAGGTGAGGAGCCGTGTGGGCCTGTAGACGAGTTTCGTTATTTGATTCTCACTTACGAAATAATGCAAGCATCTGGTTGAATAATTTCAAATGATTCATTCCAGATTAAATTTTTATATCATATACATTTTTTGTTCAACCCAAACAAATTCAAACCTATCGGCAGTGGCACTTCAACGTTGGCCTATCCTAACAGCAAAAATATAAAAGATGCAACGTCAACATTTAGGAGATAATACAAAAATTGAAAATTTGATGATTGGATGCAAAATTGAACTGATTGATACAGTGAATAATTGCTTCTAGAAATACTCCATAATAAACATTTGACTGAATATTTCATCTCTATGTCCATTCCATGTTTTTTAAAAAATTTTTTCAATGGATCTGCTTGTATCATGGTTGTTTTTAGAAATTGTTGAATAAACATTGAGACATTAATGCAAATAAGCCAAATCGTTAGAAATGTTTTAACGAATGTTCAATACTCATTACCCAATCATTTGAACAGCGTTCGCCAACAAATTCGCTCTATAAACTGGGCAGTTATGGGCAGTTATGGCAGGTAAGTTATAATGTATTACTTTTCAGTTTTGAGCTCCGTCAGTGCTTATACTGCAGCCCAATACATCACTTAATCATAAAAAGTTGAATTTATTTTCAGAATTTAAAATATAAAAACTCCAGACCTGAATATGTCCACGAGCAATATAATAACAGAGCTGGTGAATTATAGTAGGTCGACATCTGTGAGGGGTGTTCCGAAGTTTGTGAACTCGAAAGATAAAGTTCTGAAGGCGTTATGGATGGCCTGCGTTCTCATCTGCTTCTCAATTCTCATTTTCCTCCTAGTTAACTCCTTCCAGAAGTTCTACTCCTGGTCCGTCATGACACAGTCGGGAGAACTGGTGCGATTGCATTTGTGCTCTTTGAAGAGGGTTTTAGATTGAAATTTGTAAGGGCTGCCTATTTTTAACGTGATATTAAAATTTTAGTAGATTTTAAACTATTTTTTAATAAATTTAAACTCTCAAACATGCACTCAGATAGGGGGTACCATAACCTTCCCCGACGTGACCATCTGCAACATCGACCCCTTCGGAGCCGCCTACCCAGCATCACTACCGATTGATACCTACTTAAACTTTATTGATACTTACAGACCGAACTTCAAAAACATTTTCATGGACGAGTATAAAATAGACGCGTCCGAGGAGAGAACCATGTACAATGACCTCTACTCGATCCCCGCCTACATTCAAAATCTGCCTAAGTACGATGAACTGGAGAACGCGGAGTGCCCTCATTTCATTGTCAATTGCGATATTTTCATGTTGAACTGGATCAACTCAGAATTGAACTGCACCCAACGAACGAAACATTTCAAATTTTGGGACCAAAATTATTACACCTGCTACACTATAAGCACTAGTAAGATAAACTCATTCCCGAATATCACAGTTCGCGGTTTGTTCTTGGTATTAAATGTAGGACCCACACATTTTAACCAGCTAAAACAATTTCATACCAGACGACTATCATAAATTTCAGTACTTTTAATAAATTCATATAAAATTTTTAGTTAATTTAAGTAAAAATCAAAGAAAATAATTGAAAAATCTCGTCAACAATCTTGAAACAGCTGATTAAAATTGACATGAAAGACAAAATCTTCATGAGTACATACATAAGTGTACTCAAGAATGCTTTTAATTTTCGATAAAAATAATTCATAATAAAATAATTATAATTCATAATAGTTTATATAGATTATAATAAAATATAATTATAAATTTTAGTTAATAAGACCGTGATTTATAAATTAAATGTATAAACTATACATTTAGTAAGCCATTAAAAAATCGAATTACATGTGCAATAATGATATTCACAGGACAAACAACACACACACACACGCACGCACACACACACACACGCACATATACACCAACACATGTGTGCGCGAGTTTTATTTGACTAGACATTACATTAACACAGCAAACACGTACTAATGTACCATTACAATCATCCATCTAAATCAATCGTTATATAATAAGGATATAAAAGAAAGAGTGATATAGTATCATTTACTTTCGAGTTTGTGATTTTCATTTATTATCTATTTAATTCACATTATTATTTCGTAAATATCTTAATTTGAGGAAATATTCTGTGAAAATGTATGCAGATATGAGATCTGAGTTGCTACACTTTGCGGAGAATACATCAATTAAAGGTATTCCTAGGTTAATGAAAACCAAAAACCCATTTCTGAAAGTGGCTTGGTGTGCCTTCGTCCTATTCAGTTTCATGATTTTGTTGTACTTGCTGATCTTGAACATCAGAAAGTACGGTAGAAACGCTATTGCTACTGAGAACCCTATTGCTACTAATTGGTTAGCCCAAAATATATTATTTTTCTCATGTTTTTTTTTTTTTTTAGAAAAATTAGTTAGTATCGAAAATGTTTTTCAACGAGATAGTGTGACAGTTAACGAAATGCATTCATGACTTATTTTCAATAAATGGGTAAATAACTTTTTTGTAATAATTAAAAAAATCTGGTTGGAAGAAATGAAATATTTGCTTCAGGTCGCTGGCAGTACAACATTTCCAGATATAACGGTCTGCAATCTCGACCCATTCTCAGTAGGCTACCCAAAAGTGCTACCGATCGAGAATTATTTTGAATTTTTGAAAAAAAATAAAATTAAAATAAAAGAATGTTTAATGAAGAAACCGAACGTAAGTGAAGAACATTGTTCGACGAGTTGTACTCCATCTCTGGCTACATCCTCAACCTACCAAAGGACCAGTATTTGAACTTCGACTGCCCAGATTTTATCCTCAGCTGCCACGTCTACTTCAACAACTGGTTCGAAAATAAGGTGAAATGTCCGAAATCTTTTAGGAAACGTTGGAATAAAAATTATTACACCTGCCACACGCTGCAGACGAACAAACTCAAATCAGAAAATAACGATAAATCCATCAAAGGATTGAAACTTCTGCTGAACGTTGGCCCAGTCAACTTGATGCAAATTCCTTACAGATATTCCTTCATTCGTTCCCAAGAGAGGGGGGTACAGGTGAGTGTCCACAGTCCAGGGACTCCACCCCATCTCGAAAAGGGGTTTAGTGTCACTCCTGGAACTGCAAAAACAATACTATCGTCCAGACGGAGAAAAAGAGACTAGGCAAACCGTACCACAGGTCTTTGAAACAACTTTTTTATATATCTTTATAAAACTTTCGATATGTTATAATTGCAAGAATCTTTTTTATTCTTAAAATACTTTGTCATTTCGTCGTTTAAAGTTCATTGATCTGCTCATCTATAACAAAATTACTTTCCTAACATCTGTTAGGTTTGGATGCAATGACGAGACGATCACGAGATTCTTCCCAAACGAAATTTACACTCGTGAAACGTGCATCGAATTTTGTAGGCAGGATATAATTTACAAGGAGACAGGCTGCGTATCTCACTATCTAGATGTTCCTCTGAAGTATCTTGATACGGCAGACGTTTGTGAAAATTTTTCTCTCTATTCAACCGAGAGTAAAAAATTTCAGTTAAACTCTCCGATACTAAATTATTCAGTGCTAGATAAGTCTTACGATTCTTTAAAGTACGTTGAATATAATTGCAACCCCAGCTGTCCACACAGATGTCACGAGAGCATTTATCAAGTCTACGTCTCCACCACCTCGTGGCCTCAATTCTCTCACCAATTTGGACTTTTTGACATCTACATCGACAAAAAAAACTGCTCAAAAACTCCCCCGAACGTTAAAGAAAGATAAAATAACTATACATCAACTTATTCAAGAAATACTCCTACCTCAACCAAAGTTTTTTAGATGACTTGAAGTACAACAATACAACCACTTCGTCGGTACTAGCCCAAATCCAGGAGTCATTCTTGATGATCAAGTTTATCATTAAAGAGGAAGTCCCATTTTTTGACGTGGAGGAGGCGGCATACACCTGGGATACCATGGTTGGAGTCATTGAGGGTATGTTCTCTTTCTGGCTAGGGGTATCCGTGGCTACGGCCATCGAGTTGCTGGAGTTGGGGTACAGGTTGATGAAAAGTTTTTATAGAAACTGTGTCGCTAGGAGGAAGGTTGCGTTTGAAAGTTTTGAAAGAGCGGGAGATGCCGTCAAGAGCGTGGAAGACGGCACTGCTGCGAATGACTAGCCTCAAAATACGACTCCTTAGTAGGTGGATGATGGTCCAATTAAGAAACACTCTCAACTAATTAGTGATGTAAAAACTTGAAAACATATTTGTGGGGTTGTCAATAATATAACAATATATATGTAATATAATAATTTTTATATTTATTATCATAATAATTACTAATTACGAATGAGATGTAATTATTTTTGCAGACGAAAATGTCAATTAGCAATCGATGTTTATACAGATTGAGGCTTTCTAACATGGCGGAAAACGTTCATTAAATTACTCTGAAAGCATTAGGAACTTTTTAAGTTTTACTCAAAAATTATAGATCAAAAATAAGTTATAAATTATGAAAGTTGTTAATTAAATAAAAGTATTATATTTATTTAAAGAACATGAACATTACAACACAAACGCGTGTGCGTACGATGGCAAAGTTGTAAAGTTCCATACTAAATCCATCCAGCTTGCAGCATCCATTTTGTAAAAATAATTTTCCTTTATTTGGCGGTAAGTGTGTGAGCACGTGTATGTGTGCGTGCGTGTGTGTGTGTGTGTGTGTGTGTGTGGGTGTATGTGTGTCTATTCATTTAATATCTGGAGGAAACTATAAATGCGTACTAAATGACATTACAATGGAATAATTATATCCATTAGCAAATGCTTTCATGGTAATCAATATGCCGATTTGGGTAAAATTTATTTGTGAAGGCTGTTAAAGGCCTTTTAAGTTTTTTTATAAGCCTTTTTATAAGCAAAACAGGCAGTTTTGCCTAAAAATTTCATAGATGCTTTTGAATTATATTATTGTTTAATTTTTAGATTTATTTGGTAAAAAATAAAATAAAACATTTTTAAAAGCTGTTCCATCAAATGATTCAATAAAATTGTATTATGAAATTTAAATTGAGAAAATAATTCACTCCACTATCAAAACTTCCTAGTCCTTCTTCAAACAACCACAAAAATGCTGGCCAGTGTGAAAAAGGAGATTGCAAACTACGCAGAAAACTCCACGATAAAAGGCATACCGAAAATTGTGAAGTCGAAAGATCCTTTCATGAAAAAACTTTGGCTGTTCTCAGTTCTGCTGTGGGCCGGGGTGCTCGCCTATCTCTTTTACAAAAATATGAGTCAATTTTTCGATTGGCCGGTTATGACAAAATACGGAGAGATGGTTGGTTTTTCAATTTTTTAAATTCAGTTATATTTTAAAACCTTTTTATGTGAAAAGAATAACTTCTGACAAATTTTTGAAATCTAGGTGGATGGGACAATAAAATTCCCAGACATAACGATATGCAACCTGGATCCTTTTGCATCCGGCTATCTATACGAACTGCCTGTTTACTATTATTTTGAATTCATGAATAGATCAAAAAACGAATTAATTAATTATTTAACTACATATAAAAATACGATATTATCGGACGCCTTGATGGTTTACGACGAATTTAATTCTATTTCCGGGTACATTTTAAATTTGCCTAAAAAACTTAGGGCGAAAAACTCGGACTGTCCGAACTTCATAACTCGCTGCAACGTTTACTTCGGTAACAGCTGGTTCGACAACAGAAACAGCTGCTTGGAAAATTTTGTAGCCCATTGGAATGAAAATTATCACACTTGCCACACCTTACAGGCCAGCAAACTGAGTCGTGCCAGCGCTCAAGCCAAAGGTATACAGCTACTACTGAACGTTGGTCCTACCAAAGAATTACAAATTCCCTATAAAAATTCCTTCTCGACCTCCCAGGCGAGGGGGGTGCAGGTGAGTGTGCATAGCCCTGGAACTCCCCCCAATTTGCAAAGAGGGTTCAGTGTGGCTCCTGGTTCGGAAAATATTGTAACTATTGTTCAGACGGAAAAGACGCGATTGAACCAACCCCATAACAAGTCTGTATTATTCTTCAACTCTAACTCAATGTTATAAAAATACAATTTTTAATTTTTACTCAACAAATTTTTTCAGATTGGGATGCACGTACGATAAGTTCTTGAAAACCTCGCCTAGCGAACGTTACACAAAAGAGGCGTGTATTGACTTCTGCCGACAAGAGAATATCTACAGAGAGATCGGATGCGTCTCGCACTACTTGAACGTTCCTCAAAACTACAGAGAAACAGTAGACATGTGCGGGAACTTCTCGTCCACCAAACGTGTATTCGACGAAAGTTTCACGATAAAGGATCTAAACGACACCGTGACAACAAATTATTTAAAATCCCTTGCCTATCTCAACAAAAGCTGCAGTTACAACTGCATGAATCCATGCCATGAGACTCAGTACAGCACCTACCTATCCAGCACCACTTGGCCACAATTTTCATTCCAGTTCAGTCTATTCGACGCCTTCATCAACCAAATGAACTGCTCTCAAACCAACCCAAGAATTGCCGAAAGATACAAGAAATACTACGACGTCTTGAAAGTTAGCTCTCAACGTAATCTCAGTCTCTCCGAGGTTCTCAGCAACATTTCAACATCAGAATTTACACAAATTCAGGAATCTTTCCTGACGATAAAATTCATGATAAAGGAGGACGTTCCGTATTATTCCAGGGACCTGGAGGCAAATTCTTGGGAAAACATGGTTGGAGTGACCGGGGGAATGTTTTCCATGTGGTTGGGCATATCTGCGGCTACTTTGGTTGAACTCCTTGAATTGGTTTACAATATTTTGAAAATATATTGCAAGAGTAAGAAGGAAGGTGAAAATAAAAGTGTGGTCTTCGTTGTTGGTGACAAGAAGAAGGTTGGGAGTTATCCAATCGACAATGAGGAGAATTTATACCAGAACTCGTAAATCAAATTTTCGGAAATGGCAAAATTTGAAGAAAAATTTGAAAAGAGGACAGATGGAGAAAAAAATTGTTTAATATCTTTTTACTAAACAAACTTTGAAAACTTGACAAATATTTTGATGTTGTGTGTGTGTTTTTTTTTATATATCTTCAAGACCTTCCTTTTTAGAACTGAATATTTGTGTGTAGTGTCGGTGTGTAAAAATTTTGTTGAATAATAAATACAGAGTATTTACTAACCGACAAATAAGTTTCAAAACTTAGGATAAGGGGAAGATAAGTTTCCCGACATCTCAATATGCAATCTCGATGCCTTCGCTGCACTCTGCCCCGTCAATACCTACCTACAAATGCTTTATAAATTAAAAGAAAGTTATTTGTTATTTAAAAACAAAGTTTCATCGAGAATTATGCCCAAAAAATGTTTAATGAATTCAACTCCATTCCTGCCTATATTTTGAATTAACCGAAAAACATCGAGATGAACCTTGATTGCCCACACTTCATCCTGCAGATTCTGATATAAAACAACTTTTAATCAAAAAAAATGTTATCATTTGAAAACATTCGAGCGAATTAATATTATCACATGTGTTTATATCGCGTGTGTCATGTGTGCGTGTTTGTGTGTATGTATGTGCTAGTTTTTAAACATGTGAAACTAATTTTCATCGGCAGATACGCTTTTATAACAATCGTTATATCCATTCATGGACTCAGTTTTCAAAGCGATGCAGTATCAATAAATTATTTTTTAGCTTTTTGCTGCAATCAGCGTGAATTATTATTATTACAAATTCATAAACTAAACATAACTTGCAATATAAATATATATAGGTATACATGACTGATAATGTGGTTTGCCAGGTGAAGTGATGTAATATAACAATCTGTGAAACTTTTGAGTCAAGTTTTTTTTGGTTTTAAATAAAAAAAATATTTGTTTTCAAACGAAAAAATGTTTTCCGAAGTTAAATACGTTTTGAAAAATTACGCCGAAAACACGACAATTAGGGGAATACCCCGTTTTGTGAAGGTCAAGGACAGATTTTTGAAGATGACGTGGTTGATGTTTCTGCTGGCATGTACTTCTACCTTGGTATTCTTCCTATGTAGTGCCATTGAAAAGTTCAACACCTGGCCTGTGATTACTAAATATGGCGAAATGGTTCGTCTGTCTGGTGTTTTTGCCTTTCTGTTTGCATGTAGCATTAGGATCAATATATTTGATAAAAATAGCTAATGTCTCATAATATTATCGGCGAAAACTAATTTCCCAAAAACCAGAAACATGGAAACATCAGTTTTCCCGATGTGACGATCTGCAATCTCGATTCATTTGCGGCTGGCTACCCTGAGGTTCTTCCGATTGAAAACTATCTGGACGTTGTTGGTGCCAATAAAGTGACTATTACTCAATATTTAATCCAGGATCGAAACTTCAGTTATAATGCCGCAGAGAGTTTATTTTCTGAATTTTATTCAATTCCCGGCTACATTTTGAACCTACCAAAAGACTACGTCATCAATTTCGACTGTCCTGCTTTCATTCTTGAATGTAACATCTACTCAATACAGAGGTTCGACGACGATAAAAGTTGTCTGAATAATTTTAAAAAACGCTGGAACAGAAATTACTACGCATGTTACACGCTGCAGGCCAGCAAACTGAAATCCCTGAAAGACTATCCTTCAATCAGAGGAATAAACCTCCTTTTGAACGTCGGTCCACCAAATGTTATACAGATTCCCTACAAGTATTCCTTTCCGCTTTCTCAGGCCAGAGGTGTTCGGGTGAGTGTGCACAGCCCTGGCACCCCACCCAACCTCAAAAAGGGTTTCAGTGTGACTCCGGGTACTGAAAATATTGTAACCATTGTGCAAACTGAAAAAACTCGACTTGGAAAGCCATACAATGAGTAAGCATACCATTTATTTCATAAATTACTAACTTTTAACATTTTAATTTCTTACAAAAACTCAAAAATGTTTTTGAAGGAATGGATGTGCAAAGGACGAATACTCTAAAGTCTCACCAAAACAGCGATACACTCGTGATTCTTGTGCTGACTTTTGCAAACAGGAAAACATCTACGAGAAGTGTGGCTGCGTATCCAACTACTTGGATGTCCCATCCAACTACGCCGAAACAGTTGACGCTTGTGGGAACTTCTCACAGAACATGACGGAGATTTTAAAACTTGTCAGACTGAACGCTTCAACAGTGAACGATTTAATTCTGAAAAACTTTTTCTGTTCGCTGATGTACTTGGACGAAGACTGCAAGTACATCTGCTTGAGTCCTTGCAAGGAAATGATGTATGACACGTTCGTATCGGCAGCGTCCTGGCCTCAGTACAGCGTCCAACTGGATCTATTTGATACCTACATTCGGCTAATGAACTGCACAAAATCACATCCAAGCGTCAGAGAACGTTACAGGAATTATGTAAAATATTTTGAAATGCCCAATCAGACCAGGAGCTCAATCGCCGGTTTGAAATATAACATTTCGACGTCTGAACTTACGGAGATTGAGAAATCTCTACTGACCATTAAATTCTTGATTAAGGAAAACGTTCCTTTCTATGATTCCGAGGAACCCGCTTATACGTCGGACACCATGATTGGCGTCGTTGGGGGCATACTGTCTCTCTGGTTGGGCATTTCTACTGCTACTGCCGTAGAATTATTCGAATTAGTTTATAAATTAGTGAAATGTTTCATTAAAAGTAAAGACAAAGTTGTTTCTGAAACTGCTAATTCGTCCGTCGATAAGTAACTTATAACTAACATATAAACCAAAAAGAGTGTGATCTATGATCCATTAAATGACATGAACTGAACATATGTAGGCCAAACTATAAATTACAAATATAAACTCTCTGGTTATTCTTTTAATAATGGACAATTTGGCAAAACACTATGGCTAAACTATTTTTTTTTAAATTATTATCAATAATAGCTTAATTCATGAATTATACACATATTTCTTTCTAAAAATATTAAATATACACTTTAAAAAATAAAAACAAACTGTAGATGTTGATATAAATTATCTATTTCTACAAAACATCTACGTATGAATTCATACATTCTCTATAGCAGAGAGATTTCAGCTTGTGTTTGTAAGTGCTAATTTAACTCACACATCTCTGATTTTTTATTACACAACTAAAAGTAAACTCGATTTGCAATTTTACAACCCCGATATACAAATTTTAAAACTGCATATTATATATATTAAATTAAATTAATATTATTTACTAATTTACTAATTCGCGAAAGTATTCGCAATGAATCTTCGCGATAGATCTGGAATAAAACGTAAAAGTTCGTTCAGTTATGAGATTAAGGATGTTCAACTACCAGAGGAAAAGGTTGCTAAGAAACAGGCAGAAAAACGAAAAAAAAAGCGAAGACGGACACCCAACAAAATCTGGTCACTGGAAGAGAAAAAAATGATGCTAGATGGCATTTTGATGTAAGAAATTAATATTTCCTAATTTTTTAATTTTTCAAAAACTTTTATTTTTTGCTGTTACTCTGTACTCTGTAGTGTCTTGTTGTGTGAACTTACTTACAATTATTTTTTTAATTATAAAGTAATAATTAATTAAGTGTAAATTTGTTATTATTTTTGTTGTACAATATTTATTTCATGAATTATGAATTTATTATCTTTACAATTATTGAGGTTTGGGTCCGAACCTTGCAGCCATTTAAAAATAAAACGACATTTTCATATGAAGAAAAATCTCCCAGAGGTATGTTTATTATTCATAATTATCTCTGTTATAATTATAATATATATTTATTTATTGCAATTATTATATTATGGCCGTCGTAATCAATTTTTAGATCCAGCAGTTCATAAAGATGAGAAGACAGTTCTCAAGTCAAATCGAAGAATCACATCTCCATGTTTGTTGCAAACTTACAAGAACTTTTCTTTACTTTATAATTATTATTCATATTAATAATAATAATAATTTGTTATTAATATATTATCCATAATTAATTTTATTACAGAATGATATTATTAATGATTATTTTATATAATTAGGATTGGTTCAGTCTGAACAAAATTCTAGTTGACCAAGTTGCTGACTATTCAGTCTGTTTAGCTCAGGTACACTCATGCTATTTACTCATAATATTATTAATAATTTAATAATAATTATTATTTTATTATTTTGTAATTTAATAATAATTATTTTATTATTTTATAATTTAATAATAATTGTAATTTTATTATTTTCCCCCTAGCAATTTAGTAAGGCAGTCGGCTGGCCTGCTGAAGACAGCAAAAGTCAGTTAGATAGTTCTTTGAATAACGACAACAACATCAGTATTAATAACATTAACGATAGAGATAACATCAACAGCAGTGGTAATCTCAGAAGTAGCAGCAACAACAACAACAACATCGATAACTTAGATAAATTAAACATCGTTCAAAACGCTTTCAACACCGGCGATAAAAACGCTACCTTTATAATCAAAATCACTAATAACCCCAACACAGCCAACAACGTTAACAACATCAGCAAAAACATTAAAAACAGCAACTGCAATCGCATTAACAAGGCTTATGCTTCAAACACTGACATCAACAACAAAAACATCAACAGTAAAAAGAATTTGGATTCATCAACTATTTGGTCCAATGTCTACCGGTATATCTCTGCTACACTCAACAATACGCCACCACCTGAACTCAATCAAATAGGTCTGTTTGTGTGTTTGTTTGTATGTATGTGTTTGTATGTATGTGTTTGTATGCATGTTAAGCTCTTTGTGTGTATTTGTTTATATGTATGTGTGTCTGTATGTTTCATGTATGTATCAGTATGTTGTTTGCATTTGTATTTCTATTTTAACTATTGCTATTTGTGTTTATTACACACACACACGCACATACAAACACACATTGATACAAACATGCATTTATAAATAAATAATAAAATTCCCCACAGAGTCTGCCATAGTGTTACTCCTCCTTGAAAACCTTCTGAAGAACTACCAGACGCTGAACATCGAGCACCAGATGGATGTTATCAGGAGCAAGTTCAACTGCCTCGCCCCACTACTATCATTATCATCGTTATCATTACCTCCTCATCAATCGAAATCATTATCAAGATCCGAAGCATCATCATCATCAACATCTGGATCTGTGACCAGAGATGCAGTTGAGAATGTGCTAGTGAAAGCTTTGTGTTAGTAAATATTGCTCTAATAATTTTTTCAATATTATGTGATGACTAAAAAACTCAATTTGTCACTGGAATTTTCATCAAATTAGCATAATGCTTGCATAAAATTGTCCTAACATTATCATAAATTAACATAAATTAACGTAGCAATCCATATTCACCTTTCTATCTTACCTGCAGTACTACACGGTCAGCCAAGTCAAAATTGCGGCAAGAATGGAAATTGTAGTAGTAGTAGTAGTAGTAGTTGTAGTAGTAGTAGTAGTTGTTGTAGTAGTAGTGGTAGTAATAGTAGTAATTGTAGTAGTGGTGGTGAGGTAAAGTTTCAGTTAACTCAACAACAACAACAGCAGCAACAAAATCCTCCGACAATCAACAACAACAATAATATTAACAACAATAATAATAACAATAATAATAGTAATGTTGTTGTTTGTCGCCTACCAATCATAGACAAGCAAAGAGAACCGCTATACAGCATCAACCCATTCAACATACCTGTAAATATTTTAATGCCGAAACAAAAACAACAACAACATCAATAACAACAACATCAACAATAATAATAAGTTTTTTTACCGAAATGCCCCCTTGTAACAATAATAATAATAATTCGTTTTCACCGAAATCTTCGTTCATCATTGTTCGTTTGTGTGGATTGCCATTGTTGATATTTTTTCGTCTTATTCAATTTTCAATGATTGATCCATCGATTCGTTGGTTGATTGATTGATTGGTTGGTTGACTGATTGGTTGGTTGATTGATTGGTTGGTTGACTGATTGGTTGGTTGATTGATTGACAGTTTCTCGTTTTTCCAAGTTGTTTGAAGATGAATGGAGTTTTTTAAATGTATTTACATAAATGTATCCGGGCATCGTATAAGTTAATTTACCTTTACACTGTTGTTCCTCTGAATTTTTAGGTAATAAATTTATAAATTATAAATAATATAATTATAAACTAATTATAATAATAACAATTATTATTATAAATAATGATATCAATGATGAAATGATGGAGTTTTCGTCGTTCGTTTGCTTATATAATGAAATTAAACTTGAAATTCAATAAGAGACAAGTTACATTTAATGAATTGCAAAATATCTATCTATCTATCTATCGATCTATCTATCTATCTACCTACCTATTTATCTAACTAACTATATCTATCTATCTCAAGATATGTTTGATATGAGGTTGTCGTACACAGGTATCAACTGTTGTATCTCTTTGTTCGCCTCTATGACCTAAGAAATGATAAAATTATATTAATTTATGTACGTGTGTGTGTGTGTGTGTGTGCGTGCGTGTGTGTGTGTATTATTGCCCCAACATTACTTACGTGAACCTCGGCGCCATTGAGTTTGCGTGGGTTCCTTATAAAAAGATCTTCATGTAAGTTGTGCAAATCTTCCAAAAATTCCTCCAAATCAAATTATAATTATAACTATATTTATAATAATTACGAAAGATAATTATGGAATAATTAAAAGTAATTATAGATGAATGTGACTGACAAGGGACAGGGATCGCTCCTCATCTCTGCCTCTTCTTCTTACTCTCTCAAAACAGACCTCTGGCTCTGACCTCAAGTATACTTTCATTAATTATTCATAATTGTTTATAAATATTCATATTTGTTCATAAATATTTATAACTGTTCATAAATATTCATAATAAATATTGTTACTAAATGATGTATATATTTAAATTAAGTTTCATTAATCTAAATTGGAAAGACCAATCAAACAACTAATCAACCAATCAATCCATAAACTGATCAACCAATTATTTAATTAGTCGACCAATCAATCAACCAATCAATCATCTAATTAATCAACCAATCAATCATTCAACTAATCGACCAATAAACTAGCCAACCAATCAACTGCCAGCCAACCAAAATGATCGATGTTGATGTTGAGAGAGTTGACCAAGAACACGAACCAATCATTCATCACTTTGAATTCTATGGCATTCATATCTTTGCTATGAAAACCAAATTACTGCCATTCATTATTATTCATTATTATTATTATTAATATAATAATAATTATTATTAATATAATAATTATTATTGTAATTCACTTGTTAAAATTGTTCTGTGCAAAAACGTGCAATGTACTGTAGACGGATCTCTCTAAAACTTTCAACCTTGTAGTCTGTAGAAAAGATGAATCAATGAATGAATGGATGAATGAACGAATGGATGAATGAATAAACAAATAAAAGAATGAATTAAAAACTCTATATTAACAAATTTTTGCTGGTAAATGTTAACTCTACTGAGTAGGGCATATTGGTTGAATAAGAAGGACCATCTTGATGGTTCTGTATACAATAAATCCTGTATGAATGAATATGTGTATGTATAAGTGTATGCATGTTTGTATTTTGTATGCATGTATGTCCGTATGTATGTGTATATATGTTGAATTAAATTGAAAAATAATTTATTTGACCAAAAGCAATATATGTTTGTATGCGTATGTATATATGTATGTTTTTACAATATTCTATAAATTCTACTGAATGTTTGGCGTTAACATTTACCAGAAAATTATGGTCTATTACCAACATATATGTATGTATGTATGTTTATGAGTTACTCTAACAAACCAAAGCATTAGAGCCAGACACATCTCTCCAATTATGAATGGGTTCCTCTTGCACCTGTTTGTACATACATACAGGCAGACAAACATACATACATAAATGCATACATTATATACATACACACATACAAACATTTATACATGCATTCATACATACACACATACATACATACATACATACACACATACATACATACATACATACATACATACACACATACATACATACATACATACATCAATGTAATTTTTCCCTCTTAAGTAATTCAGGCAAACAGTCTTTCCAGCTCCAATGTTCCCCTCGATTGCTATCTAAACATGCCATAATTATAATAGTTATTATCTTTAAATTATAATTAATACAAATTATGACATATATTTATTAATAATTATATTAAATAACAAATATTTCAAGAAAAATTATTCAATAAAATGAAATTTAAAAAAAAATAAATTAATTAAATTAAATTAATTAAAAATAAAGTTACCACTTTTCCTTGTTTAACAATGTTACTACAATTTTTGACTGTAGAAAATAATGGTACATTTGTAAATAAATATAAATATTTATTGCTTTATTTTATAACATTAAATATTTATTATACAATAAAAATTTATTAAAATTTACTTTTATAAGTTACTACATGCATTCATTACCTGTGTGCTTGGAAAATGACGAAATCATGTTTTTGTGTGTTTTTTATTACTTTTTTGCCTTTTTTCACATCAAATACTAAAAAAGTGGCCAATTTAAAAAAAATGGTAACACTAATCGAGATATTAGGGCGAAATCTTTAAGAAAAAAAACACTATAAAAGCGCAAATTAACTTTTAAAAAAAACAAAGACGATAAGTTTGTGAATAAACATTATTTTTTCTGTGGTAACGGCTGTTTAAAGCGATCAGCTGTTTTTGACCCCATTGAAATCGGAGTTTTTAAATTGATTTAATTAAAACCTATTAATTAACTTTTCACTAATCGACACCCAGACTACTAATTTACTTAACGCTACATTAGTTCTATCGATTCTTTATTTAAAAAATGAGCAATAATAGGAGACAAATTATTTGCCATAGTTGCCTTTTATTCCTGTTAGAATATATATATATATATATATATATATATATATATATATATATATATATATATATATATATATATATATATATATATATATATACGTAGTTTACAAATGAAGATATTAATAGCAAGAAATAATTGAGGGATTAAGCAATGGAATTTTTTCAAAAAATGCATGTACTGATGGGGCGAATTAATATTAAGAAATGTGCGTGTGCGTGTGTGTGTATGTGTGTGTGAGAGAAAAAGAGAGATAGATAGAGAGAGAGAGAGAATTTATGTGTATATGTGTGTTACTGTGTATGTAGAAGAGGAATGTGTAAGAATATTCATTTTGATTCTAAAATTAAATGTAAAATTACACAACCGTCTTTATAAGAAAAATCATAATAATAATATTAAATAATTAATTATATTAATTAATTAATAATATTAATAATACCAGCGATGTAATACCGAAAATAATAATATGTGCTATTATTATTATCCTTATTCTCACCATGATGTTAACAAAACAACTAACATGATTTATAAGGTGGGTGGTACGAGAACGAGAAGTTAAAAAAAGATATTTTTCTTTTTGTGTGTGTGATTTCAGAATCATAACGTTTATAATTATAAATATGTAAGCCAGACCACACACACACACACACACACACACACACACCACACACACACACAAATACTCAACTTCACGCACACAAACACACACACGCACAAACATACATATACTTTTCTTCTAACTTGACCTCCATTACATTCAGTAGGTCAAATCAATCACATTCAACTAATCTATCACATGATACCAATCAATCAACCAATCAAACGACGCGATAAAAATCACGTGACATCGCATCAGTCTTATGACGTCACGTCAATCAAATGGCGTCATTCAAATCAACCACTTTATTACTAAATATTCAAAGTGCGGTTAGTCAAGAAGAGGGAAGGACTCTTAGTATTATTAGTACCAGCATTCAAATTACTACCACCACCACTGTTACTACTGGTGGTGGCTGTTGTGGCAGCTTTGTTGACGTTACCACCAACGCCACTAGCAGCCGTGGCAGCTGGACCTCCGATGACCAATCGTCGTCTTTGATCAGACGAACTTGCCACGCCCCTTCTTCCATCACCTTCACCTTCAGCTGCGACCACAGAGGGTCTGGCTCTTGGAGTCCTTTGAGGCGACCTAGAGGTCGTGAATGTCTTGAGGGCGTATCTTGATGAGGGGGACGAGGCCGTAGATGAGGGGGTGGATTGCGAGCCCGGGGTGCGTCTGGAAGGTCGGATGGAGGTGCTGTTTGGGGAAGTCGTGCTGCTGGTTGGACTCTGCTGCTGTGGCTGCTGTGGCTGTCTGTAGTACGAGGATTGTATACTCCATTAAAGGAATGAATACAACCAAACATGCATACAAACACACAAACAAACATGCATACATGCATACAGACATACAGACCAAACATACAAACAAACATACAAACATACAAACAAACATGCATACGGACATACAACCAAACATACAAACAAACATACAAACAAACATACAAAAACCTGGCGAACCTTGGCGACATTACACTACCGCCAGGAGCAGAGGCCACAGAGTTAGTGAGGCTACCGGGCGTCAACTGATTAGGTTCAGTCCGCGGCCATGTTGATGTGGTCGACGACGACGAAGATGACGCTGACGATTGCCGGCCGTTCGTAAGGGTGGAGTGGACCTTCCGGTACCTCGGTGTCGAACCGGAAGTGCTGGTGTTGTGCACGGATAGGCCCATTCCTGAATATTTTTGGAGAGATGTGACGGGAAATTATCGATATTTGGTCTAGAAAAAAGATTGAAAGAGATTTGGGAGGATATTTCAAATTTTAAATTCATCCAATGAAGCTATTTATTATTTGAAAATAATTTCATGCTTTTCGAACTGAACATGTTTAAAAATTAAACTAAAAAAATATTTTTGAAAGTAGGACGAAAAATTTCAAAACTAACTTAAACCAACTTAATTACAACTCAAAAATTTTCAAACTGAAACATGACGACGACGATGATAATGATGATGATAATAACGATGTTTTATGATGATGATGATGTTTTGATAATGATGATGATGAAATGATGAAGTTTTGATGATGGTGGTGACGATGGCGACATACAGCGTTTCACTACTGTATGTCTTCTACATACATTACGCGTGTTTCATTGAGACTCTTCACATATTAAAGCTATTGCTATCAAAACTATTATTGCTATTCTTATTTTTAATTTATCTTTCATCCTCTTATTATTATTATTATTATATAATTTATTTTATTTTTCCTCAATTTTTTTCAATTTTTTTTCATTTTTTCTTCAGCTACCTGTGCTCGAAGAATTTGTACATGATTGAATTGGAGCATCATTTTCAGTAGACGCTGTTGCTGCTGTCGTTGCTACAGGTGCTGCTGCTGATGATGATGATAGTGATGATGACGTCACTGATGGTGGAGATATTAATATTTTTGTGGCTGTTTTGTTAGCGATTGTTGGCGTTTTTGTGGCTGTTGTAGTCGTTGCATTTCTTGCTGCTGTCCCGGCAAATCTTGCGGGGCTCATACTTGACAGTACATTTTTGTTAGCTTGCACGAAGTTCTTTGAAGTCTTCGATAATGACGAACCGTTGAAACTAACATTTTCACCATTGTCGTTGTTGTTGTCGTTGTTGTTGTTGTTGATGACGTCATTTGCTGGTAGGTTGCCGCAGGATTTTGAAAAGAGCATTTGCCGCGATTTTTCTAGCGCGTTCGATTTAAAATGATTGCTCCTTATATGGCTATAGTTGCTGATCTTATTAGTATTACTGTTGTTGTTGTTGTTGTTTCTAGAAAGAGGAGTTGATGAGGAGAGAGGTGATGGTGCTTCGTAAAGTTTTGCAACTCTGCTGTTCGGGGTTCGAACGCGAGGTAAGGAATTTGTTGCGTAGCTGCTGTTGTTGTTATTGCTGTTGTTGTTCATTTTGCCGTTCGGTAGTGTTACGTTGTGATAAGCGTTACTGTTGTTGTTGTTGTTGTTGTTGTGGCTACTGTCGTAGCTGTAGTTGCTACAGACGTCGAAATTGCTGCTGCTGCTGCTGTTGTAGACTCTAAGTTCACTGGCGCTACTTGTGGATTTGAAGGCTGTCCGTGTGGATGTTTCACGTGTGTTTTTTTTACATTTTTTGTCGGTTTATATCTGTGCTGGCTTATATTTTTGGTTTGTTTTATATGTTATCTCAGTTGTGTGCATGTGTGCGTGTGCTGCGTGTGTAGGTTTATGTATGTGCGTGTGTGTATGTGTGTACATTTGTGTGTGCGTGTGTGTGTAAAGTGTAATTTGGTGTGGATACATTTGGAAATGTGTCTATCGGTTTGTTTGTACTTCATCTTCTATCTAGACAATCAGCCGACAAAATTCAGGTGTGGTTTGTATATGTACGTATATATGTATGTTTGTATGTATGTATGCGTGTGTGTGTATGTATGTGTGTGTGTGTGCCTTTCATTGTAATTTGCATTGTACAGGTAAGATGAATGTTGATTTAAGCTTGGAAAATATAGCTGAATGATTGTAACATGAGAATAGGATAGATTGAACGTGTATGTACGTATAAAATGAATAAAAATATTAATTATATTTAACGAAATAATAAATTTAACTCAAATAACGAGGTTTAATTAACCAAAAATTGAATAAACTAAATTTAATTAAATTAAAATAAATTGGATTTAAAATGAAAACGAAGAGTATTTAGAAGAAAAATAATGAGAAGATGGATAATTGAAGTTTGAAGGCGTGGCTAACCAGATCTCGATGAAGATGATGGCCTAACTTTCACTGAAAAATAATAATGATGAATGTTAAGTAATCATTTGCTCGTTCGTCTGTTCACCCATTCGTTCGTTCGTCTGTTCAGTTGGTTCATTCAATCATTCGTTCGTTCGTTCGTTCGTTCAATCATTCGTTCGTTCGTTCATTCATTCATTCATTCATTCATTCATTCATTCATTCATTCATTCATTCATTCATTCATTTATTCATTCATTCATTCACTCACTTTTACAGGGATCGTTGTTATTGATGAATTCTTCAAGAGGCACCCAACTGCTGCCAAACCTGACGTAAATCATCCCATTCATCAGTCGGACCGTGCAAACCCTATCCTTATCGCCAAACTGTTGATGATGATGATGATGATGATGATGATGACGATGACGATGATGACGATGATGGCGATGATGATGATGTTTATAATCCTGGTAATGATACTGACCTTGTACTTGCAGTCGTCTACCTTCTGAACTGTGAAGGGAATTCTGCACTGGCATTTTGCCAGCCTGTCATCAATCTCTTGGTCAATCGTCTGTGAGTCTGAGGTCAGTTTCGATTCGGATCTATTCGGAGTTATCTGTGTGTGTGTTTGTGTGTGTGCGTCCGTGTTTGTGCGTGTGTGTGCGCGCGTGTGTGTTTTATTCTAAAAAATTTTTTAAAGATCGTGTTTTTTTAGTAAATAAATACGTGTAGCGATATGCAATCATATTTAACACCGAAAATAAATGCTAATAAAAGTGTGTGTGCGTGCGTATGTGTGTGCGTGTCTGTGTGCGTGTGTGTGCAACTATAACAACACAACGACATTACAACAACAACAACAACAAAAACTTCGACAAACCGGTTTATCGGGCCGCATGATGGCGTCGACGAACGTTTTGTACTGGATACGTCCCAGTCGTTTCACATCAAAAACTTTAAACACCACCAACAATTCAGTCTCGTTCGTTGGGAATTCTGTAGTAGTTGTTGTTGTTTTTGTTGTTGTTGTTGCCAATGTTGTTGATGTTGCTGATGATGTTGTTGTTGATGATGTTGTTGATGATGTTGTTGTTGTTTTTAGTTTTTGTTGTTGTTGTTTTTGTTGTTGTAGCTGTTGTTGTTTTTTTTGTTGTTGATGATGTTGTTGTTGTAGCTGTTGTTGTTTTTGTTGTTGTTGATGCTGCTGATGTTGTTGTTTAATTTGTTTACATTTCAATTTTCGTAATTGAAAACAGTAAAGTAGCAACATCGACAACAACTACAACAACAACAACAACAACAACAACAACAACAACAACAACAACAACTACAACAACAGCAACAACTACAACAACAACAACAACAGCAACAACTACAACAACTACAACAACAACAACAACAGCAGCAACAACAACAACAGCAACAAACTTGACGCCATGATTCCCTCTACGAACTCCTTCCTGGTCAACAATCCGGTTCCGTGTCGATCCTGCCTCCTAAAAAAATCCATGAACTTCAACTTGTTGGCTCGGTTCCATGCAATGTACTTTCTGCGCCAGACTTCAAAATCGAAATTTCGACAATTCTCCAACTGTTGGCGCGATTGTTTGCAGAGTGTGACGGTTTTGTGAGTTGAATTGTTTGTTTATTTTTTTTTTATTTTTTTTTCCAAAAATTTTATTGTTTATTGTGTGTTTGTTCAGAGATGTTAAGAGGATGTAAAAAAAAAACTATCCGAAGACCTCTAGAATTCGGCTGAGAGCGTCCTGCAGCTTCTTCTTCCTGTCGGTCGACATCTTCAAGACCAGCTTCCATTTGTTTTGAAGTGCTGTAGCTTTACAACTCATCGATTCGCTTGTCTCTGATTGGCTAACTTTTAAAAGTTGACCTCGCCTTCCTGAGTTGGTTCTCTTTTCTGATTGGCCAGAGGCGGGTGAGGTCCCAGACGAGGACACGCCTCCGGAAAATGATTTGACGATTCGATCGATGTCTTTTGATTTGTTGATCAGTTCTTCGTGAAATTCCTGAGAATATTAAAATGAAAAAAAAAATAAACAACCAACCAACCAACCAACCAACCTGTCAACCAACTAACCAGCTAACCAACCAACCAACCAACCAACCAACCACCAAACAACCAGCCACCCAACCAACCCACCAACCAACCAACCAAATGCTCTTTGCTAAGTGTCTCGACAACGGTCAGATCATCAGGGAGGTCATCTTTATCCTTGGCCAGCATCAGGGCATGGCCATCATTCAGCCATGACATCAGCTCCGCCATGGTTGATGCATTGTCACGTGTCGTCTTGAGAGCGTCGTGTAGCTTTGCTGACCTCTGATTGGATCTCGAGACGGCCTTGGGGCAGACAAGGATGTGATGTGATTGGTTGATTTTGAAGTTGAGATCTGACGTGATTGGCTGGTTTGTTTTTGTGAGATGTGACCTGATTGGTAGACTTTTATCATCATCATCATCATCATCATCATCATCATCATCATCATCATCATCATCATTATTATTATTATTATTATTATTATTAATCATTTTGTTATCAGAGGATGTATAAAATTAAATACACGGGTATCAGGTGACGAGTGTCGTTCGTTTCAATTCAATTGCATACAATGGAGTAAAAATTATTTCATCACTTTATCACAAATATAAATACACACCAACACACACAAACACACACACACACACACAAACACACACAGACACACACACAGACACTCCAACACACACAGACACACAAACACACAGACAGACACACAGACACACCTGCTCCCATCTGGTCTGTGTAATAGTGAGGTAGTACTTAACAAATCTGACTGCGTTCGGATGACAGCTTGCCAGGATCTCCTCGGCCAGACTTCGAATCTTGTCAATGTTCGTCTGCTGGGCTTCTAGCTCTTCTTGAAATTTCTAAACATTGTGGCGGGTTTTTTCATATGACGTCATCGTCATCCTCATCACGTCATCCTCAACAATGAAGAAAATGACGTGTCGTTCATCTTCATCACGTGACGTCATTTTCATCATCGTCACGTGACGTCATCGTCATCGTCGTCGTCATCATCATTATCACCATCACAACCTCGTGATTCTCAATAAGTTGCATTATGCTATCTTCATCGTCTGGGATGGAGTGAAATTTTAGCTCCGCCTCCGCATCCGGCAGCCAATCACGAACGACCTGGATGGCGTCGTTGAAGGTCTCCGCCTTTGTGGTTGGGATGATGATTGTGATGACGATGACGATGATGATGATGATGGGGACGACGATGATGATGAGGACAATGATGAGGACGATGATGTTTCGAAAATCCTCTCCAATTTTAACTTCAACTCTCACCAATTTTAAAGACTCTTGCAGTTTGTTCTCCCTGACCTCGCTCAGATCTTTAACCCTCTCCCAGACCTGACCCAATTCCTTCAACTGACCTAATTAAATAATAAAATTAAAAAAATAAATTTATCGTGATTATTATTATTAATTTTCTCTTGAATAATTCTCAGAGACATACCAACAACAACACAGACAGACAGACAGACAAACACGCAGACAGACAGACAGATTGCATTAGACAGACGGATAAGATCTTATTGCAGTCGAACCTGGTCACTGCAGCGGCAGAACCAGGCGTCTTAACCACTACACCACCTCTTAAAATTATGATTAATTATTTGTAATTAATTATAATTAATAATTTATTTTTCTGCGACCTTGAACTTGCGGGTCGTCTGAGGGGCTGCTTAGCATGGCGGAAACCATGGCACGTCTACTCGTCAGCTCCTGCTGAAACAACTGCAAGTGATGATGATGATGATGGTAGTGATGATGATGATAGTGGTGGTGATAATGATGATGATGATTATGGTGTTGGTGATGGCGTTGGTGATGATGATGACGCTGGTGATGATATTGGTGATGATGATGATGATGATGTGGGTGGTGGTTGTTTTTATGGCGGTGATGTGGAGACAAAGAAGTTTATTGTTTTAAAATGAAAATATGAGAAAAGTTCGTTCGTTCGTTCAATTTTTACGAACCATAAATAGAAAAAATTGGATGTTTACATTTCAAATTTTTGTTTGTTTAGTATTATTCCTTCATTCGTTCGTTCGATTGTTCGTTCTTTCGTTCATTAATTTCTTTATTCATCCAATCAACTATCTATTTACCTCTATTATTTACTTATTTGTTAATCATTTATTCAATCAATCATACCATCACTCTCTCACTCACTCACTTACTCACTCACTCACTCACTCTCTCACTCACTCATTCACTCACTTTGTGTTTCTCAATGAGTATAGATACTGTATCCAGGTCGCCTAGAATTGGTTGATCCTGAACGAGGTAGACTTCCGCTTTGGTCAGCCATTCCAGAAGGGACTGCAGGGCATCCGTCAGACGTCCAGAAGACATCAACCCCTCTTCCAATTTCACTTGCCTGTGTGCGTGTGTGTGTGTGTGTACGTGTGTGTGTGTGTCTGTGTGTATGCGTGCGTGTGTGTACGTGTGTGCACGTTAGCATGTTTGTAGGAAAAGAATTCGATTGTGAGATGAAATTAAAAAATTAAACTTAGAGCTAAAACAACTGTGTATCAGAAAAAGAGAGAGAGAGGAGAGAGAAGAGAGAAAGAGAGAGAAAAATAGAAAAAATAGAGAGAGAGAGAGAAAGAGAAAGAGAGAGAGAGAGAGAGAAATTAAGTGAAATGATGGCATGTATACGTAATGGCATCTGATGGCATGTATAAGTGATACATTCGATACGCATTCTTCCTTTGGCTTCAGGTTATTTGCCTAGTACAGCGAATGTAATAGTCATTTAAATTACAAATTAGCATCCTAATTATAATTACGGTTATAATAAATAATTAAATATTAATTATAGTAATTATTATATATATATATATATATATATTGAATAATATTGCTTTTTAAATAATATACATCAGGGTCATATTTTAACATTTTATAATATAAATTATAGGCTTTTAACAAGATAAATATTTATCTCTCTCTCTCTCTCTCTCTCTCTCTCTCTCTCTCTCTCTTTCTCTCTCTCTTTTTCTCTCTCTATTGACACTGGTCAAGGACTTATGTAAATTTTGATGAGGTTTTATTAATACAATATCGAAGTATTTTTAGAAGGTTTTTTTGTACTGATATAAAAATATTAAAATAAAGAAGAGAACATCAGAATAAGAATATTTAAGAATACTAACGAATGGAAGATTCGTAGCTAAGACGTATGTATATATGTATGTATGTATGTATGTATGTATGTATGTATGTATGTATGTATGTATGTATGTATGTATGTATGTATGTATGTATGTATGTAAGTATGTATGTATGTATGTATGTTTGTTTGTTTGTTTGTTTGTATGTATGTATGTATGTATGTAAGGTAGACTTAGATACCCATTTCAATCCAGACTTTTTTATATAATTTTATTTATTTATTGAATAATTGGTCAACCAATTTATACATTTTATTCTGAATTTTTATAACTGAATAACAAAAATTAATTCCTTCAAAATCAGAAAGCGTACTATTATAGTGGCTATATACAAAGCCTTTAATGACAATCAAACCGTATTGACAAGAGTCTTAATCTTAAACAACTTCAAACTTTTAAAAGTGTATGTTTGTATGTATGTATGTATGTATGTATGTATGTATGTGTATATATATATAATCAGAATTTTCAAATTTTAAATATACAATTTTCAAAGTAAGAATAGCTCTTCAATTAAATTTGGGAACATAACAGAAAAAG